GAAGCAAGAGCAAGAATGTCGACACAGACCTCCTCGCAAAGCATTGAGTCTGTGCCGTTTGACGTGTTGGACCAAGGTGTTTTCCAGACTGAAGAGCTTCCCAGCCCAACATTGAGACAAAGGACCACAGCCTCCCATCGTAACGTTTCTCCTCAGCAGACATCTTCGAGTTATTCTACGACCCGGGTGTACAACGAAGACCCTGTGGAAAGGCAACGTGTAGCGTGTGACATGTTGAACCTAATGACAGTAGAAGAGCTGATAAATGGTCTACGACTGGAGGGAAGAACAATTTCGGGCAACAAACCGGATTTGGTGAGACGCCTTTCAGAAAGCCTGAAGCCTGAACTTGATCGTGACGACGTTCTGCCCACTATGAAGCAGATGAAGTATGTTTTATGGCTTTTCCGAGCGAAGAGCCTATCAGGACGGTGTAAGCTCCTGTGGACAGATCTCAGCACCAAGTCGAGGATTTCTGGATGGATTCAGCTCTGGAAATCAGCATGAGAGGCTATGAAGGGAGACCTTTCGGGATTTTCTCGTTAAAATTGGCAAAAGGCCGTTCCCGACCATTTAAAGGGTTGGAAGAGCACATCCTGGACAGTGCCTCAAGGCCGTGGGCCTAAGGCAAGGAGGAGTGTGGATGATGCTTAGCTTTGTGCAGTTGAGCTCTTGATGTACAGGCAGCATGTGGCTTAAGGTCGCAAACAGGCAGCATGTGGCTTAAGGTCGCAAGCAGGCAGCAAGTGGCTTAAGGTCGCAACCACAATAAGTGGCTTAGAGCTGCGAGTACACAGTACTTCAAGCGCGTGTGTGAAAATTCGTTGACCGAGACTCCGCTCATGGTTCGCCTTGCCCCCTGACTTCGAGTGCGATCACTCTTCACAATCCCTTAGTCGAGAAACCGAATGTTTTAGTCGAGAAACCGAAAGCCTAAGCCCCAAACCTCTGCGCCAACACCCCAACCCCAAATCCTAAATCATCCTACATCCCATGTCGCGGCAGCCCGAAACCCTAAACCCCAAACCCTAAACCCCAAACCCCAAACCCTAAACCCAAACCCAAAGTCCCTAAACCTATGTGCCATCCCTGAACGCATAAGGGGCACAAAGCAGCTCTCGAGGTGCTTCTTGGGTGACACCTGGCATCTGTACTCCAAGGAAGTCATTCCCTTTTTGCTCTACGGTTGATGACTTAAATCCTGCATTACCTTAGGAACCCTAAACTCTGGGAAGCATGGTAAATTCCTTATTATGGGTTCCCAGGCGCTCCATAGTAGTTCCTTTTTGGGGTTACCTTATAGGATCCTAAATATAACCACAAGAAGGAACTACTATGGAGCCTAGGGCCTAGGGGTAATACAGGATTTATAACAACAACCGTAGGGCTCCGGCTCGGGGCTGGCGGCTTTAGTGTAAGAGTTGGGGACTGTGGGACTGTAGGTCGTAGGGCATCTTTCAGGGAAGTGTGGCTCCTACTTCTGTGCTGTCTAGCCAGGGCTCATGCAGACTTCGCGGAACTTGCAAAATCTGTATTCGGACTTGGGTGCGGCAAAGAAGTTCTATCCTGGGCCTTTTCCGTCCTTTAGGCTTAGGCTTTGGGTGTAAGGCAGCAGCAACAGAACCTTGAGAAGGGAGTCCCCCGAGCTGTAGGAGCTGAGCTGGCGTTGTACCCAGGTTGCAGTGTCTGGCTACTGCTCAAAGAGCTTGAGCAGGCCCTTTGTGTTGCTCTTTCCTGGGAACGCCCCGCTGGTACTTGTAGTCCAGCGCCCAGCATCGACAAGGACTAGTGGGACGAAAGCCCTCTGTCGAAGGGCTGCAGATTGAAGCCCCATGTTGGAAGGGGAATCGGCGGCGAGAGACTCAACCTGCCAAGCCATGTTGTGCCTGCCCAAATCACTGACACGAAGGAAAAGGCTGCATGCATGGGCAACGAGGCACATAGCGTACAGGAGGTCTGGCTCCTTGCCTAAACCCTAAACCCTAAACCCCTAAACCCCTAAACCCTAAACCCTAAACCCTAAACCCTAAACCCCTAACCCCTAAACCGCTTGCGCTCTCTGACCCGGCCGGTGACACTGTCCACGGGGATCACCTTCTCGTAGTAGACCCCATAGCCTTTGGACTCCCCCCACCCGGCGAGTTCAACCTGGATGTAACCAGATGTAGAGGGTCTTGGGACATAGGAAACGTCCCTGGAGAGGAGCTGGAAGAATCCCGAGTTTTGAAACCCAGTTTAGTTTGATTTAGATCCTTGTTGGATCTTGCTTGACTTGGGTGCTGAACTCCAAACCCTGTTAATTACAGCTCGTCGAAAGCCCATAGGACATGTATTAACACTCCAAAGGGTGCAGTTTTTTTTTTTGTGCGGGGTTGCATTGCATGGGGATTATCAGAATTGTAGGGTTTACACGGCTTTATACAGGCTTTAGAGTTTGGTGGCCTATCTTTTTAGACTTTTGTAAGCGCATATCACTTGCCGGAATTGAATGTCTGAGGCTTTCAGAAAACACTGCTTTAGAAAACCAGCCCCTGAATTTGGGCGAACATGTGCTAGAATCTGCTCGTGCCACCCTAGCACCTGAATCTGGAAAACCGGAACCCTGCAAACCCGAAACCCTACATTCTACATCCCTAGCGACCGTCCAGTCGCCCTGAGCCCTCTTCTCAGACTTTGTTCTATGCCTCGCAAATGTCGAAGTTGGCCTTGTCAGAGGGTCGGAGGAGGAGAAGGGTTTAGGGTTTAGTGTTTCGGGTGGATCAAGCTCATGCCATTAAGACATGAAGGAGCTAAAGGAATCGAAGCTCAAGTTTCAGACTGACTTACAAGAACATCACTGTTTAGAGTTTCTTGAACCCTTGGGTATTGACTTTGTGGCTGTCGGGCTTCAGGTTAGTAGGGTTTAGGGGGTTATGTACTTAAAGGATGAGAGAACTTACTAAGTAGTACCAGAATTTGCGTTGCAGGAAAGGTGCGTATCTTTAAAGACTTGTTTAAGTTTAGCCGCAAGCGCTTATAACACTACCTGCTAAAGTCCCCGGCCCGGATCCTTCACGTAGGGTTTGCGTGTGTTGCAGCGAGCTTGGTAAGACATGAACGAATTGTTGCTACTGATGTTGACCAATGTTGGTGCTGATGGTCCGCAGAAGCACTACCAGCGACAACATCTCACTGATCCTTGCTATTGGGCTATCCCCAAACCCGCAAGCCTAGATCCCTGAATCCCAACACCCAACCCCCAAGCCCAAAACCTCGACCCTCACAGTGGGAGAGGTATCGTCACGAACGACCTGGCGAGACCCCCTACCCTGAAGTATCCTCTCGCAGTCTCGCAGCTACGCATCTTTCTAAGGCCTTCTAGCTATTAAAACATAAACCCTAAACCCTAAACCCTAGTTCAAGGCCTTTGCATGCAGTGTTTGAAGCTTCAAGACATTCCAAATTCAGAGCTTCCGCCGTTTGACTTCGGCGCTAGGGCTTGAGGGTTGCAAAACTGAGGGTTCATATTCTCGGACCCAAAGGCTCCATGTACCCATA